AGGTCATTAGTTAAGTGAAATAAGCCAGACACAGAAAGACAAATATTACATGTTCTCACTTACATGTGGGAGCTAAAAAAAAATTGGATTTCATGGAGGTAGAAAGTAAATTACCAGAGGCTGGGGAGGGTGTGCATGGAGGGCAAAGGAGGATAAAAAAAGGTTGGTTAATGGGTACAAAAATACAGTTAGATAGTCATAATAAATTCTAATGTTCAATAACTGAGTAGGGTGACTACAGTTAGCAATATATGATATACTTCAAAATAACTAGAAGAGAAGATTTAAAATGTTCCCGACACAGACATGATAAATATTCACAGTGAGGGATAGTCTATGCATGTAACAAAATATCAGAGGTACCACATAAATACGTACAAATAAACTGAAAAAAGAAAACCAATCAAATGTGATTTCAGATACTACACAATGATATAAAACTTTGAGTTAGTTCTTTAGAAAATGATTAAACAAACAGCAGCAAGGGAAGTACACATGGTGAGGAGTGAGTGTGGACGGGAGACGTGGGGAACATCCTCCAGGATGGCTCAGCTTGCCCACATGGTCAAGGACCCTGTGGTGAGGCGAAGGTCTGGGCAAGATGCATGAGGGTTTCATGAGGGCTGCATTCCAGTGCCCGTCTTTGTATAAGCGTGTCACTTATGGGACTCAAACTACCTCAGACTTCTCCAGGGATTCAGCCAATTAAACTGATTTTTTTCCCATTCTGCTGCTTCTAAAAATATAAGGTTTTCTACACACTGCTATCATTACAAACTGTGATAGGCGCTATAAAGAAAAAGAATACAAAACCCAAATGGGTGGAATAAAATTTAGATTAAGGGGAGGGTGTCAAGAGTAAATGCCTCTAAAGTAGCCAAGAACTGATGAAGAAATGAGTTAGGAATTTTAGCCATTCATGCAAAAAAGGGGTAAGACTGGAAGAGGCCTTTTAGACAGAACAGCATGTGCAAATGTGAGCAGGTAGGAATTTGGCTTGAGAATAGTTAAGGTAGTCACCATACCCTAGGATCATCATGACCAAGAATTGCACAGATCAGGCTCCAAGTGGCCAGGGCCAGGTCACCTTAGATCTGACAGCTCAAAGTAGTATAATCAGAAACATTGAAGAATTGAAAAGAGAAGCATTAGGATTCTATTTACTGGTTGCTGGGTGATAGATGGTTTGGGACAAATTCTTGAGAAGCTACTGCAAAAGTTCAGGAGGCTTGGGCCTAGGAAGTGGCTAGAATGATGAAGAGGAACAATGGGCTGGGTATCAACTGTCTAAGGGAACACCATGCAAACATTCACTCAACATGTACTGACAACTTCCAAGGCTCCATTCCATCACTGGCTCTGCAGATTTAAGTATAAACAAAGCATGGTTCTACACTCATGAAGGTTACATGTGGGGTGAAGTTTCAACGGAAAAACTTCATGAAAACTCAGGCAGCAATAAGTGTGATCTTGAAAAACAAAAGGAAAAGGTGAATTTGGACCCCTTAGGACGTTAGTTGGAGGAGAAAAATTACATGAAATCCTGCCCTTGTAACAGAGGCTCAACAAATGATATCCATTAACATTATTCTATCAATACAAAATAAGCACTGGGTGAAGACTTTGCCACTGTAATTGCTTAAATATTCCCATATGCTTCTTTTTATTTATTTTTATTTATTTATTTATTTTTGAGACAGAGTTTCGCTCTTGTTACCCAGGCTGGAGTGCAATGGCATGATCTCGGCTCACCACAACCTCCGCCTTCTGGATTCAAGCAATTCTCCTGTCTCAGCCTCCCGAGTAACGGGGACTACAGGCGCGCGCCACCATGCCCAGCTAATTTTTGTATTTTTAGTAGAGATGGGGTTTCACCTTGTTGACCAGGATGGTCTCAATCTCTTGACCTCGTGATCCACCCACCTCGGCCTCCCAAAGTGCTGGGATTACAGGCGTGAGCCACTGCGCCCAGCCATATGCTTCTTTTAAAACATCCCATTCAACCTACCTGCTTCCTTCTTTGAAAATGGAGTCTGGTTTTTAAAGTCATATACTTCCAATACACACTGAAATACTTTGTAACAAAATCTAGATGGAATACTAGGTGGCAGGATTAAAGTTTTATTTTTACCTCTTTTCAACCTCTAAACTTATGCTAGCAAGAGGTGAACTGCAGAAGCATAAAGCAGAATGCAGTGACTAGCTAATATGCTGACTCTAGCTGGGGGCTAACAGTCAGAAGACAAAGACTCCTTACAGAGACAGTGGGGATTTCAGGTAGCATAAAACACATCCATGTTGTGGCCTTCTTTAATCTCAAGAGTACGTCTCCTATACTGAAGATACGATTTTACATGTCATGACCTATAACTGGCTTGAAACAGCAGATTCATTTAATAAATACTCCAATAGAAAACTGCCTTCTCATCAACAGTTATCTTCCCCAGGGGGCCCTACTCCCCCAGTCCCAATGAACTGGCTCATGCCTAACCATGTTATATAGCATGCTTACTATCTAAGTTACAAAGGGGTATACTTTGCAACAAAATTTCATGCTGACAGGTTCACCAGGAAGTTCTGAGAGTAATCAGATGTTCTAAAGGCTCACTTCACTCAGATTCTCTCCAGTGACCCTACTAAGTATCCCAGAACTCACTGCAAACAGTTGAGTGTCCAGTCACAAAGAGCACACAATAAAAATATGTGCAAGAAGAAAAAAATAGAAACTATATGATTCTCCATTGTTCAGCAATAAATAATAAAGCTACAATTAAATGAACTGCCCTGGCCGAATCAACCAAAGATCACCAGGATTCAACAAAGTTTTTGACAAGAGTCAGGTTTGTTGGCTCCATGTAATGCGTGAGCCGCCCCATGGTTCCATGCAAACATTAATCCCAAAACTCAGAACAACCCTGAAGGTGGTATTATTACCCTACTTTTACTGATAAGCAAATTAAAGCTGTAAGAAGTGTCCTTGTTCAAAATCACATGGCTAGTAAACCATCATCCATGTTAACTCCAAAATCCTTACAAAGCAGCTCAAAATACCCCCAACCCAAGCGAAGACCATATCCTTTCCTCTAGACATTTTGAGCTGGTAGTTTGCAGTTTTTTAAACAATAGAAGAAGTTTCCTTTAAATAAAACATGACTGAAATCCATGAACGAACAGGTACATATTTAAAGCACAGGATGATGTCCTCCTTCAGAACCTGCCCTTGGCTACCAGCTACTAAGGGGAGGCAATGTGTGATACTGAGTGTTTTTTAAAACGTTTAATTCAACTTAAGCAAACAGGCCATCTGCAGCTGCACCTTGTCACTTTTCTCCATGCTTAGACACTGATCAGCTCCTTTGAAAGGTGGTAGGGCAAAACTGGACAGTAATGGTTTACCACTGCAGTTTTAGCACTGTAGGATTCCTGGCTGAAGGGACAGCAAAAGAAAAGAAATGGAGGTTGGATGAGAAAAAATATTTTGTGAAAGGCATTCATATTTTTAATGCAAAATTAAGTAGAAGAATATAATTAAAGATATGCCTAAGAACAGACAAATTTATGTCTTATGAAGGTTTGCTAGAGTTTACTTTTAGTTTCAAAAAATAAGGTGACCTGAATGAAAACATATGTTGAATTAGAACATTAAAATGGCATATAATGTAACTGTTTATTTCAGAGTATCTAGGCGGCCTGAGACAGCAGACAGGTTTTGTCACTTGTTCGAATCCTCCCAACTGGATCTGTGTCATGTTTGGCCATATACCAAAAACATAGGGAAAAGATCTACCCTTGCAAAGAATTTTCATGGGCATAACTGTATGGCCAAGGGTTTGGTCAGAGTCAATGTCTAGGCTGAGAGAGAAGCACTGCCTGGGAGCAAACTAATTGCATCAGATACACTCTCCTGGTTCCTAGGTCATACCCTAGCAGCCAATGTGCTCCTGGTAGGTTAAAGTGACCATACCACAGGTGAGCAGATGCCACTGGATGGCTGATTCACTTCCCAAGCCTTCCTTTTCCTAGCTGCCTTCCAGCTAGAGGTGGCCTGTGATCCAGTTCTGGCCAGGGAGATGTAAGCAGATTTCAGGCGGCCAGGTGGGACTTCTGGGAGAGCTTTTGCCTTCCTGCTGAAAATGATGACTCTCAGCTAAGAGACCCTTAATCCCTGATCATTCCTCTAATTCCTGCGAAGGCTACAACCACAGCGCCTGAAGATCCAGCTCTTATTGCGAGACCATGTGCAAGCAGGAGGTGGCACGGAGAGGAAAGAGCCTGCCTGGGTCCCTGGCAACATCTGTGAACAACTCAGCCCTAGACCACTACCTCCAGATACCTTGTCATCTGAACCACGTAAATCCATAATTATTTAAGTCACCATAGTTAGCTTTTTGTTACTTTCAGTCCAATACATTCCTAATTGTGGCAAGAGACTCTTGTGCTTGAGATTTCTTCTGCCTTAAAGTATACGGGTTTCTGGAAAAAATGGAGTTTTCTCCTAGAAATTACTTCCCCCAACACACACTCAAAATCGCCCTTCTAGAAAAACATAACTGTCACACACCTCTTCTGGTTCCAGAACAGATTACAGAAGTGTATCAATAACTTTAATGTCTATTCAGAAAAAGAGTATAAACATATGTAAGGCACAAGAACACAAAAGCCGCCGGGCGCGGTGGCTCACGCCTGTAATCCCAGCACTTTGGGAGGCCGAGGCGGGTGGATCACGAGGTCAAGAGATCGAGACCATCCTGGTCAACATGGTGAAACCCCGTCTCTACTAAAAATACAAAAAATTAGCTGGGCATGGTGGCGCGTGCCTGTAATCCCAGCTACTGAGGAGGCTGAGGCAGGAGAATTGCCTGAGCCCAGGAGGCGGAGGTTGCGGTGAGCCGAGATCGCGCCATTGCACTCCAGCCTGGGTAACAAGAGCGAAACTCCGACTCAAAAAAAAAAAAGAACACAAAAGCCTCAAGGTAATAACATTTTTCAATGGCGCTCACCTTAGAAATGTTGCTTGAATGACTCATGGAATGTCCCAAAGTCTTCTCATTCTGCAAGAAAATCAAACAGGTTTTAAGTATGAATCTTTGATTAAAATAGGCAAAGAACAAGTAATTGATCATAACAACCCTACTGACAAATTATTCCCTGAACTAGAATTTCTAAGCACAACGTACTATATACTAGATGTGTGTATCCAATCAGAAAATATTGGAGATTTGGGCAAATGAATAAAACAACAGTCCCTGTCCTTAAGGATTTAACTTTTTATTTAAATTAAAATATTTAATTTTTTATTATCAGGAAAAAAGAAGAGTTTGGAATTCACTGTCAAAATAAGATGGTAATAAGTGTATTAAGTCACATTTCAGTGGAAGTTAAGATGGTGATAAGTGTCTTAGGACACATTTCAAGTGGAGAGGCTACATGCTCAGTTGTATGTGACACAGCCCACATTATGAAGAGCCACTTCGAAAAAGCAAAGAAAAGTGGGACAGTTGACCAGCCCTGGGGTGTCTGGCTAACAAAGTGCTGAATATTCAACAGGGACGTCACACAGCTCACTTTTCCTTCAAGCCAGTTTCTCCTCCTGGAGCAGGGAAATCTGGGAGCCAAGCCAGCTGCCTTCCTCTGGTGCCCCTCCACCTTCAGTCACATAGTCTTGCATCAAATTCTTGCTCCTTAATGCCTCTTAATCACAACTCATTTTCATTTTTATTGTCAATGCTTTACTTTAAATTCTCATTTCTCAACTAGAATTATTGGAGAGTAAGGTCCCACCTGGCCTTTTTGCCTTTACGTTGACCTCCCTGACACACAACTGTTACGGGTTTAACTGTATATTCTCCACCCTTCTGTGAAAATTTAGTTGTTAATGTCCTAAACTACCTGTTCCTCAGAATATAACTATTTGGAATAGGGTCTTTAGAGATGTAATTAAATTTACATGATGTCATTAGGGTGAACTCTAATCCAATAGGGTGGTGTCCTTGTAAGAGATCATGACACAGACACACACAGATGAAAGACAATGTGAACACAGAGGGAGAAGACAGCCATCTAGAAGCCACAGAGAAACCAGCCCTGCTGCCACCCTGATCTTGGACTTCCAAACTTTCCAGACTATGAGAAAATAAATTTCTGTTGTTTAAGCTATAAACTTTGTGTTTATGTGTATGGCACTTTGTTATGTCAACCCTACCAAACAACAACAATCATCTTCCATGCTATGACTTTCCTTTAAAAAAAAAAAAAAAAAAAGTGAACATTCCAAACATAAATCTGATTTTTAAAAATAAAGTCATTTTCCTGGATCCACTTATTCTTGCTCTAAACCCAAATGAGTAAGAAAAAAAAAATATAAAAAAAAATATATATCTCCTAAGGAAGAGATGATCTTACTTGTATCTCCTTGCTCTGTGGCCCAGGCTGGAGTGCAGTGGCATAATCATGGCTCATTGCAGCCTTGACCTCTTGGGCTCAAGTGACACTCCTGCCTCAGCCTCCAGAGGAGCTGGGACTACAGACACGTGTCAACATGTCCAACTCAATATTTTTTGTGGCGAGAGGGCTCACTGTCACGCAGGCTGGAGTGCAGTGGCACAATCATGACTCACTGCCGTGGTGCAACCATGGCTCACTGCACCCTCAACCTCCTGGGCTCAAATGATCCTACCGCCTCAGCCCTCTGAGTAGCAGGACTACAGGCATGTGCTACCACGTCTGACTAAGCATTTTTTGTAGAGACAGGGTCTTGCTATGCAGAATGGGCTGGTCTTGAACTCCTGGACTCAAGTAATTCTCCCATCTGAGTTTCTCAAAGGAATGGAATTACAGGCATGAGTCACCATACCTGACTGTTTCTTTATCTTAAGACAGTCAATTAGTAAATTTTAAAGTGTGCTTAAAGTGTTAGGAGAATGTCACCAAAGAATGTTTCTGAAAGACCAAGTTTAACTAGCAATTTCATTCAATCCTGTTATTCACACATTCATTCACTGGGGATGGAAGTCCTCTGTCCAGAGAACAAGTAATCTATAACCATCTGAGTTTTATTCATTAGTCAGGAATGTATTTATGGGTTAAACACAGTGCACTGCTGTGAGTTCCAATTTTAAGGCCAAGCTACTGGTGACTTACTACTAAATTTTAGTAGAGTCTACTAAATTAAAAGAAAAGAAAGATATCACAGGCCTTGGATTACCTGTATAGAAAATCAATTATGATCACTACCACATAATTACTATCTCATAAGGAATGGCTAGTTTGACACCATCTGGAAATCTACAGAGAAGTTCACAAGTACTAACAGAAGCAATAAATCATATCCTCAGATCTTTTTGACATTAATTATTCCTCAGAGAATGGAGAATAATTGGGGAGGGAGATCTACCTGCTAAGCTAACGTTATAAACCCAAATTGAGAGCTAAAGTTGTTCCTTACCTTTTAATAAATAAATTTAACAATGCAAACTTTCATTTGTTTTCTTATTAAAACAATTCATATTTTACATTGGTAAAACTAAACAAATAACAAGCCCCAGAAAACACAAGTGTTTTAAAGCCTGAAACCACCATTATTTAGGGTTGCTTCTCCACTATCTGGTAGGATCTTAACAATTTACTTCTAGCAGACCATCTTTTATTTTCCCCCAATAAACAATGCTATTTAAATGACCATTTATTTGGATTTAACAGAAAAATATAAAGTTCAGGACAACAACAGAGATATTTTCCAGAAAGCAAATCCCACGACTCATTCGAATCAGGCATTCTTTCCACACTTATTTACTATGCAACTACTATGTGGAAACAACTGTTGTCAAGCACAGAATATGGACAAAAATCCAACTCCTAACCATGTGCCAATGATAATATAGAGAATCTCTTATTTGAAATGCTTTGGACCAGAAGTGTTTCATATTTCTGAGTTCTTTGGACTTTGGAATATTTGCATTATACTTGCTGGTCAAGCATCCCAAATCTGAGAATTCAAAATTTGAAAGGTGACAATGAGCATTTCCTTTGAGTGTCATGCTGGCATTCCAAAGTTCCAGATTTTGAAGCCCTGGATTTCAGGTTTTTGGATTAGGGACACTCAACATCTATTACCACCGAACTGCTCTGAAACATTGTTTTGGTGAGAAATTTACAAACTAGGGAAAAGCTTAAGAATGACATTTTAAAAAAAGCATATATGGCCGGGCGCGGTGGCTCAAGCCTGTAATCCCAGCACTTTGGGAGGCCGAGGCGGGTGGATCACGAGGTCAAGAGATCGAGACCATCCTGGTCAACATGGTGAAACCCTGTCTCT